CCCGTTTCCTGTGTGTGTTTGGAGGTCTCACTGCACAGGTGCACGAGTTTGGGACTTTAATGGCTAAGGACTTGAGAGCTGCTGAAGAGCAGAGGGAATACTGTGTAAAAATACTTATGCATTTTTAAGGCTAAATCTCAGGCAGCATCAGCAAGCGTTTACCCAAACTGAGCAAAAAAATGGTTTAACAAAAGATGTGTGGTTTAACAGGGACAAAAGGAGCAGTAAACATATTGCTTCTTGACCACAGAAGAATAGTTAGTTGGATTATTTTGATGTAGAGGTGAGGTAGAAAAGGTTTTCCCCATCGCACTGTACTTACCCTTTCTTTAAAAAGTATTCAGTAAAAACTTTCTTTGCGGCTCGTGAGCTGACTGTAGAACAAGAAATACGTGGTCTCTAATGTTGATTTTATTGGGGGAAAAAAGTCACCCCTCATCTTTTTTCAGCACAAGTTAATGTACCGGTGTTTCTGACAGTAGGCGAAGAGCTGCTCTGCCCAGCAGAGGCCAACAGAGAGAACTCAGCCGTTCAGTACGTGGTGGACTTAACACTGCTTTGAACTGAACAGACATTATGTTAGCTCCCAAATAGCAATGCTCCTAGTGCTTGGTAAGGGAGCCGATTTTAGGACAGGTGGATCTTCTGCACATGCTCCACCGTGGATTTCCAAGGGAGTCTGGCGTGTGTAGTGTTCCTGGTTTATATTTGACTAGGAGCACTTCCAAGAATCTCTGTTCACGCACTTGTTTGGATGAGGGCCCATTGCATCACCTCAGTTAGCTTTTGCACTGCTTTCCTGCCTGCTCTGTTTTTATACTCTTCTTTCTTAATTTGTCACGCTAGCAGGTAAATGGAGAGAAAGTGAATTTATCTTCTGAAACGCATTTTAAGTTGCTGCCATTTATCTAAAGCACCTACTTCATCCCCTTCAGTAAAATAATGATGTTGTTCATTAGTTCCTCTAGCTGCTCATGGCTAAATGCGCTGTAGTCAGATTGCTCTGTTTTTTTCCTTCCTATCAGCCACTTATGAAAGTCAAACATTTGTAATAATGCTATTGGGTTAGGGTTTTTTTTTTCGTAAGTCTCTCAGTTCCGCTCATGTTTTTACAGAAAATTTCTCTAGATGAATGGGATTTGGTTTTCTATGTCTAAGCATATATTGTACTGTTGGGCAGTTGAGTTAATGTCTACTCAAGTTAATGTCTACGGGTTTTCCCCTGACTTTTTCATGACTCTCAGATGGAATGTTTAGATAGTTCTTCTTCCATCCCCTTCCTCTTTTAGAACAGATGCCATTGTTTCTAGGTGTCATCCAAGTTTTGGCTTCGTTATTTAATTTGATATACCTATGTTTAAAATAATTACGGAACAATTGGCAATAGGTTGAGTATACAGCACAATTTAAGAGCATATTGGAGTCAGCCATTAGCTCTTGTGCAAATGGTGCTTTTCAGTTTATGTTGTGCTGTAATTGAGATGCCACAACTGCATATTCTTGAGGTCCATTCCCGTAACTGTTTTTCATAGAGCAAGATTGCTTATGCTTCCAAGTTTCTAAGCCCCTTTATAGGTTCTAGGCAGACCTTACCATTGAGAAGCAGGACAGCTGTTGACCTAGAACTTGAGGTTCTTGTTTTAAATTCAGCCTTGTCACAAGTTCTTTTTGATTTTAGAACACTCTGAAAGTCATATTTGTAAGTGTTAACCATCTAACAGCAAAGCTAGGAAATATATTAAATATATGTGAGTAACAACATACATGCAATGACTCTGTAGCCTGAGAAATAGTTACTGGATGAGAAACCTGTACCTCTAGTTTAACAATTGCACTAATGAATCCTTAAACTTTCATCCATCTCTCTAGGAAGATGGAAATCTTCCTGCCCTCCATGAAATCCGTGATAATCAGTTTACAGGCAGGAGATCAGCAGCCTGGAAGGTGGAACCACAAAATTCGGGTAGTGTATAGGCACTATATGTCATAGAATCGTATAATAGTTTGGGCTGGAAGGGACCTTTAAAGATCATCTAGTCCAACTCCCCCTGCAATGAGCTGGGACATCTTCAACTAGATCAGGTTGCTCAGAGCCCTGTCCAACTTGACCTTGAATGTTTCCAGGGATGGGGCATCTCCCACCTCTCTGGGCAACCTGGGCCAGTGTTTCACCACCCTCAGTATAAAAAATGTCTTCCTTTTATCTAGTCTAAATCTACCCTCTTTTAGTTTAAAACCATTATTACTCCTTGTCCTATTGCAACAGGCCCTGCTGAAAAGTTTGTCTCCATCTTTCTCATAAACCCCCTTTCAGTACTGAAAGGCGGCAGTGAGGTCTCCTGTGAGCCTTCTCTTCTCCAGGCTGAACAACCCCAACTCTCTCAGCCTGTCCTTATAGGAGAGGTGATCCGGCCCTCTGATTGTTTTTGTGGCCCGTATATCATGAACGTGGCCCTCACATCTAGAAAAGCTACTCAAAACTCAAAGATGAGACTGATCAACAACATACTCCTTCAGTATAACTAAAATCTCATGTATGGAACAGATGGAATTTTACTCAGAGGGGTTTGTGTATCTGAGAGGTAAGGGCTGTCATAACTTCACTTTCCATGCCACAGGTAAGGCAAGTTACTGAAACCTTGCTTTGTTTAACATGAATACGTAGCTATGGTCTAGAAGGAAAGAAATCAGGAAACAAAATCCTAACTGTTTCCCTCAGAGAAAAGTATAGTCCAAACCCCAGCAAACAAATCTGAGTCCATTTTCATAATAGCGTTGCAGTGAATACACTCCTTCCCTTGGGGGAAAGTATGAGAAAACAAACACCACAAGAGAAAGTCTAGCCAGTTTAAATGTGCAAGTGGGAGGTGTATGGACGTTATGGTTGTGAGTATGTTAGAAGAGCCTACGTAGAACAGGCTGGTATGTATTTTCCACATTGTATAATGGTGGTGTACTGAGAGACTCCCAAACACTTTGTGTGGCAATTCACAGCTCTGGTGTGTTGTCTTTGCAAAATGATTGGCGGACCCTCAGGTCGCACATTCCCGAAGTAAACTGTGTCCTGCTCAGTTACTGAGAGGTCTGTGTATGCTTAAAAATGTTGTGTTTGTAACCTTTCAAACTGCTGTCTGGTGGCTGGTCTTTATAGTATTGCTGACAACAGATGGCAAATGGCTCCGCTGATGTAATTCTTGCTAGTGTTTCATTCCTGTGAAGTTGCACAGTTTCAAAATCTCAGAAAGTGCCTCCATATTTTTTCTGCATAATGATTTCAAGCCAAACTAAATAAAAACATTTTATATTAGTCAAATTCCCATGGTGTCATGTGACATTTTTGTAATGATTGCCTTGCAGCAGTTTCAGATAAGTGCATGTTTGGTAGCAATTTAAGGCCTGTGTCCTTTAAGTAATGCTTATTAGTACGTAACAGATGCCGTCTAGAAACATTATGCCTTTTAATAGGCTCTGCTTTTAGACTACATGTTCTCATTCCAGGCAGACTGTGGATCGGGCAAGCTTGGAGGTATGCTGTCATTTATGCAAAGCCTAAGTCAATTTTCTGGTCTGAAGTCAAGCCATGTGTTTTTCCTTGTTTCTTCCATTCTGGTCATAGCTGCCTTGCTGTGTTTTTCCCCCTAGTCATATCTTTGGCTGATTGTCAAGCCATTACAATCAAAACCTTTTGCATTTTTAACCACCAGCAGTGGTTTCTTTTGTCCTTACAGAACAGCCTGTGTAAACTGAATTTAAACAATCTCAGCCTTACTGTCAAGAGCACAGCAAGCACAGAGTTAGCCCTCTGTTGCCAGCCTGTCCTTCCTTCTCTGCTTCTTCCTCCTCCCGAAAGGAGAAAAAGGGAAAAGCAGAGCCATGCTGATTTTGGAGCACCTTCAAAGACATGTAGAATAGCTGACACAATGGCACAGAGAAACAAGAGAGATGTTTGCATTTTTCCTCCAGTACATGCAGCTGTTTATTAAAGCAAGTTCTGAGACAGGCTAAGAGGCTTCTGATTGCTAGTGCAGGTGACGTATTAATTTGCAGCCGCATAATAAATTTAGCAAAGTGTAAATTACTGGGGGAAGGGATTTTTTTTGTTTCTTTCCCTTTTTTTTTCTCAAATTAATTGCTTTATTTTGAGATTAGTCTGGCTGTACAAATTGCTTCTTGCAAGGAATTGGGAGAAAGGCTGCTGGGCTTCCTTAGGCAGACTTACGCACTCTGCTGGTGGGAGCAGTAGATTTGGCAGATGTGTAAAGCATTTGCAACTCTAATTATGCAGTATCTGAAACTGGTATCCCTGTTGTCTCATATTTTCATTGCTACATCATTTGTTTGGGGAAAATTGTCCTTTCTGATAACAAGCTAGGGCTTTCAGGTACTTTTGGTGTGCCACGCATAGTGCCATAGTTTGTATGAATTGAAGAAGATAGAGGCCATGTGTAGTGCAGCCTTAAGTTTCCCACACCTGCTTTTAATGCAGTACTTAAATACTAGCCCTGGTGCCGGGCTGTGGCAGTGGGCGTTTCAGTAATAATTTTAAATGCTCCTTGGTCTTAAAATACAGCTATTTTCTGAAACCATCCTAACTGGCAGTCTGGCTGGCTTCTCCCCACGGGATGAAATCGTGTTCATGCTAGACCATTTGCCAAATTCAGTTGTCATTTCCTGCCGTTTCATTGTCCCTTGTTTATCACTATGGAAGACATTGTCTTCCTCTTTTCCCTTAAGTTATTGGATGACTTTTGACCAATACATCCTTCTTTCTATCTTCCATCTTTTAAAGGATTGAATCGCCGCTATCAACATTTGAACTTGTGATTCATAAAAGCTCTACTGCTATTCACAGCATCTTTTCTGTCATTTTCCTTTCAAATCAGCCTCTTCGAATAATGAAGATACTTCAGTGATATATTTCAGTGTCATTCAGGACCTCACATTTCTTTGCTTAGATTTTGAGAGTCAGACTGTAATTTGAGGTCAGGCTGGACTATGAACTTCTGCTTGCGTAGCTATTTTGGCTGTGGGTATGATGAAGTGAGATGTAGCACTAACGTAGTTGTGCTGGAAAAAACCCTTGGTATGGACAGAAACTTGTATATTTTTCTTGTATATTTTATTTTGTTTAGGGAGTAGACCAATAATTAAGTTGACAAATTTAGATGTGTTTTCCTTACATATGCAAGAAAATCCATACCACTGCCTTCAGTAGTTGAAGTTAGACTTTTCCAGGAACATTTCTCTCTGTTTCTTGGTTGTATGGAACACGGTACTTATTAAGAACTCAATTCTGATGTTCACAGGTTCAGAGGTATTAGCAGCAATCCTCCTGAATCAATGGAATTTCCTTGAGGAAAACCTGATGTGAACATGAACCTTAAAGCCTTAATTAATCACAATCCTGAATGTCCCTTTTCTTCAGGACTACATATTCTCTGAGTTATTCTGTAAGCTCCCTCCTTTTTTACATTTAAGCACTGTGAAAAAGAGAGTTAAATGTGCAGAAGTATGAATTCCTGATATGTCATAGTTACAGCTGGTAGCACTTCCATGGTTTAACAGTATGCTACAGTTTTTATTTGTAAAGGCTGTTTCTGGGCCATCATACCTCAGCTTTTTTGAATTACACTAGGTTAGAACTTTGTGCAAAACATGCCAGTCCAGATGTGCATTCTGTGTATAATAGGCCAGGGGGTTGCCTGTTTACACAGATATATTTTAATTTATCTGTACTATGACTTGGGTATGGCTTTATTTTTGTAAGTGTAACACTGCTAAAGATCCATCTGAGGAAAAATAGATATCATTGGAACCTGTTCGCTCAAACTTTCAGTCCGGGAGTGCTGCAGGTTAGAGGTGATTAATGCCACTATGTGATTTCTTCAATATGCACTTGCTTTTCTAGATTTGAAAACATTTTAAATAATGCGGTTTCATCTAGGTATTTTTCTAAAAAGAGCTAAATAATTAAATCAATTATTTTGTCTATTTTTTTTTCTCCATTTCATAAGTTGCAGATTACTTCAAGTTTTGGAAAATAAATAACGCATATAGCTTATAGACCCTGGTCGTACAATGTTCTGAGGGCCTTCAGTGCTCACTGAAGTGAGTAGCAATTGAAGGTGTTTGACATTTTTCAGAGTTAGGCTCGTCTAGTCACTGCCCTTGCTCTTCTACCTTCTGCTAAATAGATAGGTATACATAAAGCTTTTTTCTTCCCTTTTCTGAAATCAGTAGTAAAAATGCACTGGCAGGAATGGGATGGCTAATAAGGTAGCATCCTGCATTTGGGATGCCTAACATTTGGTCTGCCCTCCATTTGAGTGACAGAATTTACAGTAATTTACAGCTACAGCTGAACTCATCTGTTTAATGTTTGGTTTTTTAATTGGTAGTGGGATTAGGATTATTTATTTGCCTTCTGCCTTCATTTATTGATTCCACAGCAGAAAATTATTTACTGACGGGAACTTACATTTAGTTTTTCTTCTGAAGCCCTTCTCACCATTTGAATTGTGACAGAATAGTAAGTAATATATAAATGGCATTTTTGGATCGAAACATAGAAACCTGTTAATGCCAATGCATTTTTTTTTTTCATCCTTTGTATTCCAAGAGTGATTGGTCTATTAGTAATGGTAAAAAGCAATGCAGCGGGGAAGAACATTGTTTTCATTAATGATGTACAGCATGTGGTTAAGAGCTGCCTTGCCATGTTGGACAGATAGGACACTACAGCGTTTGCCCACTAGCTCTGTTGCCACCACACGTTGTTATGATACTGTAGTTTCACTTAGACTAGAACTTGGGTTTTTGACATATACTCGCTCAATTAAATTCAGGATGTGAGAGTCAGGTTGTGCATGTACTCCCAGGAATGTGCCAAAGACCTCTTCCTTCCTTTGAAAGGTTAAACAAATATGGTTGTCTAATGATAACCACATGCATGTTCAAGTTCATTGGAAGGAATGGAAAGGAGTTGATGCTAAGCACTACTGTTCAACACACAGGTCCCACTCCTGTGAGAGGGTAATAGAAACCACTTTTGTTCTATCTGCATGATTTAGAAGGGCAAAAAAAAGTTATCTTTAGATCCTAGACACTATCGTGGTTGTGCTGCCGTAGTGTGGCAGTGACAGTGCACAGGAGAACAGAGAACAAGTTATGTTGTATTACTTCTTTGTCTTCTTACGTCGGGACTTCAGAGGCACTGATAAGGGAAACGTCACGCACCTGTTTGAAGTGGTAGATAAGACATACACTTAACTGATAAGAAACCAGACAGAAGATGAAGTGATTTGTTGGGGGCCACAAAACCACACCTGTGTTGAGAATAAATCTTAGGAGTTCTGGTCTCAGTTGCCTGGTCTAATTACAAGAACATTCCCTCCTAAATATTGACATCATAGACAGTCTTTGTGTTGCTGCACGTATGTTTGTCTCATATTGCAAAGTGTTTTCTGATTTAAAAAAAAAGTGAAAATACTTGGACAAAAAAAATCACAACAACGTCAGAAACACTTAGAATCTGTTAAAGTTTTTATTTTTATTGTGAAATGTATTGTTATGAAAGTAAAGGCAATAGTAAAGCCAATAAACAAAACCAGTACTGCTATTGCAAGCATTAGAAATGGAAAAACTGAATAAAAAATAATTACACTTGAAAGTTAGAAATGTTAGGTTCTTTTAATCTGTCTTGTTTCTACACCACTAGGAATCACACTTCAGTATTTTTCATACTTTGACATGTAAGAGAATGCACAAATTTGCACAAATGTACAAAGATGCACAGCCTAGATACAAATCCTGTGGTGACTGATGGCTCTTCTGTAAACATTCTTAATGGATGCATGTAGTATCATTCTCTGTGTTTGTAAAACATGAAAAACTAGTCGTAGGATAAATGATTAATTCACTTCAGACATAACACTTTTCATGCTTCATCTACAGTGAGGTTGATGTATTTTGCTTTACAATCTGGCTGCATCCTAAATGCTCTTACAAATTTCTGAAATGGGCTTTTCAATAAGTAAGTCTTTCCTGGGAGTACCAGCAATACCTTAATGCATCTTAATCAACCCAATAGTGTGTCTAGTGTGAAATAACTGCACCGCCAACTTGTTGGCTTAAGGAAACAGTATTAATAAGCTACATATGAATGCAGGAATAGAAAATTCTTCACAATGAAAGCAAATGCTTCTTGTTTAATAAATTGTGTATTGGGTTCATTATCAAAAAAGGACTTAAGGATATTGGCAATACATACTAATTTGAAACTTAAATGAATATTTAAAACACATTAAAGAGACAGAGTTGATTGTCCCAGGTTGTAACTGATTTGTTAGATAATGGCAAAATAGTAAAACTAATACATAGGTACTAAAATGACTAGTGTAGTGAAAGAGAGCTTGAAGAATGTAATAGTGATTTGAATTGTTGTAGGATTATATTAATGAAATAAGTCTGTGGTTATGTATATTCTAGTTAAATTATTTCTATTATGGCACTGAGTTTAGCTGCAGAGTATATAGAAGGATCATCAAAAAGAATCTTCAGAATAGCTGATTAGATTGAAGCATGTCATTTGCCTTCAGGCATTACAGCAGTCTGTAGTTTCACTTGTGGAATTTCACATACAAGTGTGTGCGCCATGTGTTTTCTGTTGTTTTGAGAATAAATTCTCTTGCCCATGGAAAAATATTTCCTGCTTACTTTAACTGATAGAATGCAATTCTTGCTGAATCTGTAATGATGGGAGTCTGTCTCTAATCTACAAAAATTAATTTCTAGCTTAAGGTAGAATATAATCTGTTTTGTGATTGCATTTGTTATTTATCTACCTGACACAGAACATAAGCGTGTTAATCAGATTTATCTGGATTCCCACATACGGATCGTAAGTGAAGTGAACTTTGCCTGACTTTTACCTCTCAGGAAGGATATTTGTCCACTTCACAAAACTACCATAAAATTAAGTTCTCTATTCTGGAGAAAATCAGAGGTGGAATAGCAGTGAGTTTAGAAAAAGCTGAGTTTAGGGATCAGGTCTGAAAGAAGGGCCTTGGTTTATGCCTTACTGGCAGAACCGTGTACGTGCTGGAGGGCAGTATTGTATCAAAATGACCGAGCTGTATGAGCAGTGCCTGCTTGTTTGTATAGCTGGTTTTAGCTGTAGCTTTTCACTTTAAAAATCAGATTCTTAGTGCAAATTGATGGCACATCACTAGAGAGGAGATGCATTTACACATCCTCACTTGAGAATGCGGCCCAGACTGCTCCATGGAAACAAAAGAGAGGAGCAACAGAAGCAGTGTTAGTATTTGCTTTAAAATCTATTCTGTATGCTTGAAATGGAAATATGCCCATTCAGATTTCTTATTTATTTATCTCTAGATTTTTCAGTGGAATTGCATACACTTCCTCCTCTGTCGCCCTGAATGATGGATCCCTGTAAAAGACAAAGTCTGTACCTGTCTGTAAACCCTTCATTGTCACTGCTGCTGTAGAATCCGCCTAGATGATGTCTTGACCTTGTTTACCAGCTTTGGCTATTTAAGATGGCAGCCACTTCAGCGCGAATGTCAGGAATCCCTCTAATGCAGTAGGCCTCCCGTTCTAAATTTACTCTCCTTATGGTTTATGGTCCCTCCTCTGTGGCTGCAGCAAGAGGCCCCCTTTTTATGACTCACCCCTCCTGCCCCCCTTCGCTCCCCCCTTTCCTCACTCACTCCCTCCCTCCCCCAGATGGTAACCCTTTGTGCACATCGCCTGTTTGAAAGAAGTGCTCGCTGGGTGTCTAGCAGATTGGCTGCCACAATGTGCTCTTTTGTTGCTGCTAGGTAAGATCAAATTCGAATGAAATGCTGTAATTCAAATTAGGTTAAAAGGCTGTCCTTGGAACTTTGCAATTTTGGTATCCCAAGATGCTGTTAGGGGCCTCAGACTGAAGCGTTCACAGGAAAATAGCGCTGCTTTTCTTTTGAAGTGAAGTTAACATTATTTTGCATTTGATTTTGGAACATCCTGTTAGCCAGCAATAATTATCGTTGTAGTCAAAAGCCTAATAGCAATAGTTGTAGTTAGAATTTGTCGAGGTTTTTTTGTTTGTTTGTTTCTGTATAGAAAAAAAGCATAAAAGGGACATATACAGGAGCGCAAATATAACTTCTTCGCTTTGTACTGGGGAAAACTGGGAAACACATTAGTTAATGTAAAAAAAATTCAAACTGGTGATTTTTCTCCTGCCTATGGCAGCTGAACAGTAGTAGTGGTATGTGCACGTCTGTGAAAGTTTTGGGGGGACGTTCACAAAAGCCACCCTTAGCACAACTGACTTTTTGAGGACTCTCCAGGGTACCTGGAGTTAGACTTCTCTGCGTTGTCCCTGAAAGAACCTCACTATCTCTCTCTCCCCCCTGCATTATATACAGAAGCTGAGACAGATTTGTTTTCTTCATGAAAAATTTCTGGATTTCCCCTTTATTGGAGTATATGCTGTTAACACACTTGGGTGTTTTCAGAGTACTGCACAGGAAAGTCAAGTTAACTGGAAGCCTGCAAGTGTTTTTTAGAGAAGAAAATTACTTTTGTGGAAAGTGGTATTAATGGAAAGTTAATCAGAAGTTTTTTCTAATGGCTCATTATTTAATCTGTGACATTATTTCATCCATCAAGTGGTCACTCTTACCGTAGAATACAAGCATATTATGTACCAGAAAGATGGTGTAATTTTGAAGGTACTAGTTGTTTTGTTCAGTGAGGAGAAAACAATTGTGCTTATTAAGTTGCTTTGGCTTAACAATGGCAGGATGTAGCCTTGTAAGCAGCATCTCATGAATAGTATTTATTAGCATGGACAATATTTTTCTTTGTGCTAAACTTAGTCTTACGTGCTGCTCTTTCGCAAAGAATTAGTTTACTAGTAAACTTACTTCAGTGAATTACTAAAGTTTTTAATAATAATCTTTAATTCTTTCCCTTATATGGCTTCTTTGCTTGATGGTGTCACACAGTACACTGGGGAAGGCTGCTGCAGAAGAAAACTGCCACTGCTAAGTGCTGGCTGGGATTTTATAATGTGACTCAACTCGCCAGTGTTGCAATGCTGCTTTCTCTCCCATTTTGTCACATACAAACATAGTATGAAAACCATTTACAGAGTAGCTTCTGTTCAGCATTCTGACTCCGTAACTTTGCTGTCAAGCCTCAGGATGTAAGCTGATTGCCTGCAAAGGGCAGGAAAATAGTGTTTAAAGCATTTTAAAGAGTGCTGGGTGGTGGTGAATTCTCAGTTGTAGGTTCTTACCCTTTTGCTGAGGAATCAGATACTGATCACTGCCAGAGGGAGGATGTTGGGACTGTGGGTGAATAGTCTGACCTGGTACTGCAAATCCCATGCTCCTACTGGTACATGGAAAGGTATAATTTTCAATATGGTACTTTTATGATTCATAGTTTCTGAATCCTAATATAGGCTTAATATAGTTTAATATGGCCCTCGTAAGACTGCTCATTGTCTCAGCCATTTACTGTGCACTTACTATCAGTGCAGTTATTTCCCATTAAACTTGGGTCATAGGAGCTGCCATATGAGAGTAAACCATGATTAAAAATGGAGGATTTAGAACTAAGATTCCAGCTATAGCAGTGTGGTAGATTTTGTCCTCAGTTTGGGGCTTACAAGAGTTGCAGATGTAGCTTGTTGATTGAAAGCCCCTTAAATTGAAAATATTTCCTTCCTATGATAGAAGACTGGCAGAATACTATTTGGACTGATGTTTGGACATTTATTCTGGTGTTCACCATTTATTCTGGTGGTGGTGAGCCACCAATCAGTATGGTTTCTTACATTAGAAATAGGTTGCTTGGTTTCTCATGAGCACTGTTGGACGTTGCATTTAGGTAACAGGCATCAGATGTATGTAATTTTTGTTTGCATGCAGTTAACAAATACCTTGCGTGAATACCCTTCAGCATTGAATCACATGGATTAAGTTATGTTGCATAAAAGATGGTGGTTACTATTTTGGGAACTCTTACGTAGGTAAATATTTTAATTTTTTTTACATTATGTTGTTGTGAAAGTGCCTAATTGAAGTTACTCACAAAAGAGAAAGAGAAAACTAATGATACACAACAGATTGTGGACTGACCCATAAAGGGGCGGTCTTCCAAGAAAGAGTGGAAGCTTTGGAATTCTTTTCCTGTTATATTTTTGGACAGTACTGAAACTTGGGCTGTGTTTTGAAGAAGTTTTTTTACTATTCCAGCTTTAAAGCAATTTACTTACACCTAGAGAAATTTGAGACTATGCTTGTTGAATTCAATGGAGACAAATGTGCTTTGATGCTGTCATGGTTCTACTTTGTAAAATTGCATGTTGAGAGGTAAATAACATATAGATAGGTTTTACCAGCCTTACTGTTTTAGACTAGGATTATACAAAAGGCTCTCATGGGAACAATAAAGGCCCAGCTACACCAAGCAGCTGCTGGGGAAACTGAGGCTTTAAAACTCATGTTTCTTAGTTCATTTGAAAAGTAAAAATATCTTGTGTTTTATTTTAACTACAGGTCGCCTTTACTTGGTAGATACACTAGCAGGAGATCCAGAGGTTCTGCAAGTGGATGCTGAAACATACTATGAAAAACTCTTGAAGAAGTCATCATCCACTCCTGATGTTTTTTCGATCCCTGGAGAAGAAGAGGTAGTAGGGTGATGTTTTTCATACTGCCAGTTAAATACTTGCAAACTAGTTTGTTGGTTGTGCTTGTAGTCTGCAGATAGGGGTAAACTGGTGTGGCCGGATTACAAATCTCTTAAAATCAGCAAATTCTGCATTATTTCGAGTAGTTTGCATGCTGCAAATGAGAGATAAGCTTACACTACAAGTCTAAAACCCTCTGAGTGTAGATGAGGGTTTGAAGTACTTAGCTGAACTTTGCATCTTGACCTGCCTTCTTACAGGACTGAATCAAAAGTGAATTTGGTAGACGTTTATACCACAGTACAATTCTGTATTCTGCCTCTACGGTGCAGTTTACATGGGTATTGTGATATAGTCTGTCTCTTGTTTCCATTCTTTTCAATACTTATATTGATAATTTGGAATATAGGTTCTCCCAGAGCAATTCTGATCAGATATGACTGATAGATCCTATAAATACTGTAGCTGCCAATGCTTTAGGGTCCATTCCTGAGCCACCTGGGGAGTGGATTGGAGGTTACTAAACAGGCCAATTAAAAATTCTGACTTCAGTCAACATATGAAACCTTTCATTCTGGGCATTTCCTAGATCATGAAAGGTGTGCTGGGCTGTTACTGTACTATCAAACTAGTAAGTGGATGAGTTGAAAAAAATATTTGGAATACGGTGGCTTTTTTACAATTTAGGAAAATAATATGCAGTAGTTTCCAGAAAAATGCCGTTTCAGGTGGGTAGCTTCATCTGTGAGCCGGCAATGTAACTAGCTTTAGATACTCTTTTAATGCCCTCTAGTGGACCATGCGGGGTTAAATACAAACAAACCTGAAAACGCAAAGATCCCCCAGTTCATGGCTTCTCTGTTCTTACTTCAGCCTTTCATGCCTGTTTATACTTTTAGAGGCTCATTTGCTGTTCCATTAGAAGGGAGAGTAAGATAAAGTCCCAAGCATGCTGTGTGTATTTCTGCAATAGCTAGACGGAGTAAGATCAGTTAAAGGTAGACTACTGGCTTTTGATTCAGAACTGTCTTGATTCTGTGGCTTGTCATCAGACCTTAAATATATCACATGACTGATTTGAGTCTCATAGCAACACATTTCTCTTTGCATTCATTTAATTCAGGTCTAATCTAATCTGCAGTCAGACAGCTAGTCAAGGGCATAAGTAATGGTAGTGTTCTTGCTGTATTTTTTTTTTCCTTATACTATAATAAATACTTCAATGAATGTTTATAATTTGTAATTAAAAAGAAATTAAATGTAACAAGGTAAAGCCCCCATTCCCAGTGAACATCTGAGTTAACAATCCGTGTTGTATACCTACAACCTGAAGGATGAGGGTTTTGGTGTTTGAATAATGACTGTAGTTACCGGGCTTTTGTTCTCCTCTGTGCATCTGAATTAAAGCAGGTTTCAAGTGGCAGGACCGCAACCGTGAATTTAGCAAGCGTTAAGTGGCTGTCAGCCCACTTGCTGGGGTCACAGAACTTCTTTTTGGTATGGCATGGTCTTTGGTCAAGCATTCAGTACACAAATGGCAAGGATTATTGCAAGTCAGGATGGAAGCGCATTGGCAGCATTCATACACAGAAAGCTATGCTTGTCTCATGCTGATGTTGTTAGCACCTGTGAAAGTGCATGTTACCTTATAAAACAAAAACCCAATCATAACAGTATTGGAAGTAGTACTGGCTTTTTCATTATAGTAATGCTCCCAGGTGCCGTAGTGATATCGATGCTGTTGTATTTGAAGCATGCCAAGAATGACTGAATCCTCAGAATATAGTGAGATTTCGGGAAGCTCATGAATACAGATTTCAGGCAGTTTTCAGTTTTTTTCCTGGAGTCCAGTGTTTGCATAGATGATCCCAGGATTCTAGCACTCATAAACTAGTGATCACTGGTTTCAACTTAAAGTTGTTATCTTGAATAATCCATATTCATACTATTCCTTCCATGCACCAAGGAATATTAAATGTGTCACGTGACTGATTTGAGTTTCATAGCAAACTGACAAATGGGTGCAATTAGAGAGAGAGGCACACCCACACATACACAATGGACCAGATTTTTGAAAGTACAGTACATACTGTGCTACATTATGCACGCTCTTTGCCTGTACCTAAACTTACATGAGAGCATTTGCAATATTCATATGGAAATCGTCATCTCTATGCATACAGAACTGTTTGAGCACAGTAATTTTGTGTTTATGTGTCACATCATTTAGAAGTTTAGTCTTAAGACTGAGAGCTTGAGAGCTGCATTTTGATTTTAGCTTTGCCTTCAACATAACCACCTTGTGCCAATTATCTACCCTCCCTGTGCCTCACAGATAAACTGCCCAGGCACTGCCCTAATGCTTTGATACTCCCTGTACCCTGAGGCTTAATTCATTGTTTGCAAAACACCACAAGTACTCAGCTGGACCATGCTGTAAGAAGTGCAAGTTGTATTTGTTTTTATTTGATGTGTCTGGTCTTTCATAACACTATTTGTCTGCATGTAACTGTGTTCAAAGCCAGGTTATGTACTAATCGTAGTAAGTCAGCATTAAGTTCTTGACTAACCTCGGTAGCTTGATTTCTTTTAAATTAACATTACTTACTGATAATATTGGACTATTGCATGTGTTTCAGTGCCTTGAAGTTCAGGATTGAGAGGGTGTTGTGCTAAGCTTATACCATGCGTGTTAGTAAAAGATAACCTAAGTGCATCTAATGCATGAAATACTTCTTGCGAGCTTTGCAGTACAAACAGCTACAGGGCTTGTTTGTTTTTTAGGTTAAACTTGAAGATTCCTCTGTGTGTTTTGTCCCTCTCTACCGAAATAATCCTACTTGCAAAATGTTGCTGTTAACTGATCCAAAGGATAAAGAGACAGGTTAGAATTGGTCAAAATTTTTTGAAATTTGTGTAGTTGTACTTTCTTTACTTTTAAAATGGTCTGCTTGTTTATATATTTAAATATTTTGGGGTTTATTTTGAATATTAAGTGGATTCAGTTTACCTGTCAGGGATTTGTGTTGGTGGGCTACTAATTAGACGGGAGGATTGACGATCAGGGCTTTTAAATTCTATACATAGGTCTGCTAGTAGCTGAAAAATCACCTTGGGTAAATCTGTTATTTTTTCTGAGTGTTCAATGAGGTAATATTTTTGTAATTCAGGATGATGTGAAATTTAACGTGTTATAGTTTGAATAGAATTCTGAAATCCTTAAACAAGAGCAAATACATATGTAAAATTGTATTAGGTCTTACTGATTCTTCTTCACATTATTTTTACTTTATGATATCTTCTTCAGTTCTAGGTTTAATTGCCTCCTATTTCCAGTACTGGTGTGTGAGGGGTAAATTTGGAGTGCAACCGTGCTCAGAAATTGAGTTAAATCCATTTTATTTGGCAGTTCTCCCAAGATAGTCTTTAAACTCTACCAGCTTTGCCTTGCTTACTGCTGTTGTTTCCCTATTACAGCCATGTGTCAGCCTGACAGGGATACACTACAATTGTGTTACAGGCAGTACAAGTCAGCATGTGCTTACTGGTGTTTCTGTTCCGTGAGTCACTGCTTAGGGTATCAACAGGTTATTACGATTTGATCAGTAATTGTATCTAAGTTTTATCTTCCTGCTATCAGGATCTCAGTATCTTCAGACACAGCCTGATTTCTTCCTACTTAATCTCCTGGGCAAGTGTCTTTGACTGTGGAATGTGAAAAAATGCAAATGTTAAATAGGTAACAGCTCTTGATACCGCTGTCATTAACAGGAAACTTGCAAGTTGCATAGTACCAGAAGCCCAAGTTGCAACCCGGCTAGATTAAATGAGTGTTGGAGCTGTTGTGAAGCAATGGGCTGTAGAATTTTTGGAACATCTACAACGAAGACATAAACCTATGCATTGACCCATAGTGTCACCTAGGGAATACAGAACACATGAAACCTCTTAAACTTTCAGCTTTCAAATATGGCAGCAAAGTAATGACATCTGTCATTAAAAGCATGCTTTTTTTTTTTTTAAAGGATAAACTACAAATTATGCCTTAAAGGCTTTAATAGCCAGTATTCTTAATAATATAACAAAGGCAAGGCAAAATTTAGCACTCTATGTTCAGTTCTAAAGTGTGTCAGGTAATGATCCTAGAACAGGTACTGTTAGTATAGCTAAGTGGTCATTGTTCAGTCCAAACCCTGTAACCAGGATATTTCTTCATAAGAACAAAAACCAGATTAAAATCATCTGTGGTTAGAGGTGAACTCTGCAAAGTTTTCCAGCTCCTTTTACATACAATTTCAATTGGACGTTTGCTAATGGGTTGTGATTCACATAGTTGAAGGTAGGAGGCCTTTCCAAGTTAGAAGTGTAGTCAAAAGACTTTCTGGTCTCTCTAAAACTGTTGATACAGAATTACTTTCCTGACATTGATTTATATAGTCCATTAATATTTTTCTGAAGAGAGATAGGCACTGGTGTGGTAAAGGAGCGAAGCATCTACACTGGAGGCCGGACTTGCTCTATGAGTGCAGTTGTGCATACCTACTGACTCATGTTCAAAGGAATGTAGTTGAAAACAGCATTAAGTTAGTTTAGTCTGCACAAGAGGAATGGGGATCTGTAACAACTACAATGCAAAAATAAAGAATTATTAAATAAATGCAGGTGAAAGCAGTGCGTTTAGCACAAATCTTCAGTTAAATCATCTAATAGTAGTAGAACAACAAGTATTAATTAGATACATGTACGCAAGGAAAAAATGATTTCCCACAGGAACAAGTCAAACAAGTCCACATTGGAGCCTAAATTATATGATAACTATCTACGTTAAAAGCTTAAACCTAGCAGAATAAACACCTTATTATATTATAAACAGCAGACTGACTACTGTGACCCCCTTGCAAAACTTAAGCGTGAGTCACCAGCCCATAGTCACAGAAACAGTCTCACGGAGATCAGTAAGTCTAGTTATTTAAGAAAGACCTACATCATCTGGCTTTTAATATTTTCTTTTAAAAGTATGATTTAAAGAATTTTACCGGAAGTTCTTTGTTTCTGGATTTTATATGCTGTAAACATGTGGCCAGCCTTCCCACACACATCAAATTTGACTGACATGATTTTTTTATTTAGATGAGTTCCAATAAATTTTTGTTAGTTCTCTAAAGTCTGCTGGGGTGTGTGTGTATATGTGTGTGCATAGCTATACGTATTAGTATATACATTTGAAGTATTTTGTCCAAATATTTTTCCCACCATTGAACAGATTTGGAATTGACTTAAAGCAGCAGATTGTTTTAATGTGGCAAGTCTATCTGGATTTGCTTACCTATATGACCTTTTGTTCTGATCAGTGAACAGATCAAATTGTTTCAAAAGCAATATTTATTAACTTACTGTTACTTAAGGACATGGGCAGAAGGTTAAAACACTAAACAGGTTGAACAATTTTTATTCCTCCCTTGAGCTTTATGCTTTTCTTTGGAACTCGAGTTTCATCGACATGGGACAGGCATGCAATCTGGCTGTAGGTCATCTCTTTTTCTCATGTGCTGTCTGGTGCCTCTGCGTTTTAGTTCTACTTCACACCAGGAGTGCTCTTAGAAGCAAATTTCCTGGTTGTCCCCACATACAGTTCATATCAAGGAGCAGTCTCGGAGTGCGTGAACTGGATTACTTTTGGCGAAATGAAATTAGAGGATGCATTCTAGAAGCACACTGATATGCCTCAACCCCTAATGGGCTTTTAATTTTCAGCACCAGGCTCGAATTGGTGAACATCAGGTTCTCTGCACCAAATGTTTGGCTCTGTGAATTCAGTTTTGTTTGTGTTAGTCTTGCTCATGCAAGCACGGTCTACTGATTTTTCCTCTTGCAATTCATTTGGATGTTGCTGAAGTTCAGTGGGGGAAAGCAGTCATGGATGTCCTAGGATACGCTGGGGTAGAGGTGCTTTACTGAGAAGCAATTGGAAACAGGGTAGAAGATGATGCTAGTAAGTGTGTAGGGCATGTGTAGTGGTGTACTTCTCAGGTCCTGGTGTGGATAGGGAAGCAGCAAGAAGCTTTAGAATGCTCATTGCTTCGTTCTGATGCAGCTCATGTGATGCTCGGAGACCATACCATACTGCTCCCGAGAGCCACAGCCTTCCTCTGCTCTGGTGGTTCTACTGACTGGTGACTGCCTTTTCAGTTTAGTTCTCTTCTCCAGTTCTATCCCTGACGCCATCAGTTCCTTCAGCTTTGCTCCAACATCTCCACCTTTGCTCCTGGTGGCTCCCCAACATCCCTCACCCCCTAAAATGAACTTTGTACAAAGCCTTGACAATTGCTTGGGTTAACCACTACCTGGGCAGTACCTTACTCTCAATGAGAAAGCTGTATACCTTGTATGTCTTATGTTCATATGTGATGGGATTTCCTCTTTCAGCTTCATTTGTGTTTACATCTATAATGGTGAAGTATTGCATAGATAAAATGATGTATATAATACTTATGAAATTATATCCACTGTACTATAAGTATTTTCCCACATTTCCCAAAGAAAATATTGTCAGTCTAATAGTTTATGTTTGAAATTCTAACAATTTAGACTCTGGAAAAATTTAGCATCCTAGCTACAAGTTTGCCTGTGAAGAGCTTTAACATTTCATGGCATTTAATTCTTGAACATAGGTTAAAGAGGGGTTGATTCCAACACTGAGATTTGTATCTGATCATCTTGATCAGATGGGTTCTCCAGAAGTGATGCGTAGCTTGTGGTCTGAAATGACCTGCATATTTCAAAGAGAAAATGGATATGGTAGCTTTTCCATAGGACTTGGTCTTGGTTGGGAGCATTTTTAATTTATTTTTGATGGGCTGAGTGTTCTGTTCTGTTAGTATATCTGTACAGATATTTTTATGAGAATGTGAATTGTGTTCTAAGGGCTTACGGAGCATAGCATGGGTGATTAACATCTTTATAACACTAAATAAACATACCCTATTGTGGCATTTTCTGTATGCTGTATATAATAATTTACAATAACTGTTAGATGCCATGGAACATTTATCACAGGACATTTGCAACAAATGACTGGGTAAAACTCAAATTGTAGAAGAAAATGTAATTGGTTGCAGGAAAGATATCTGTCTAAGATACTTGAATGGCTGCCATTACTGGAGCATCTGCATGCCTCCCAAGCTTTAATGTATTTATTTCGGCAAGACTCTTAGGAGAGAGAGAGAAATGCTCTTATTCCATCTTAAAGATAGGGAACTGGGGAACACAGCAATTCAGGGTACATCAACGTTGCAGAACACAGTTTAATGTCGGATCTCTGAGATTGCTCCATTATCATAGCTGACCTAGGGTTGGTTGCATGGAACTACTTGTTGGGGTAATTTACTATTCTCCTTCCAAGGTGGAAATTTGGCAAACGCAGCCTCTGTAAGTTTGACATCAATAGGAAATACTGCCAAAATTAAGGTAAAGATAACTTCATCTGAGGTAAAGAACTGGTACATTCTGTATTTATTAAACGAACTCAAATCACATCTCTCATATATAGCATTGCCTTTAATTTAGATGGTGACTGAGGGATGTGTTTCAGCAATTCAGCTGAAGGCTGGGGAAAAAGAAGTACCGAGTTGGATACTGCTTTAATTTTTCTGCTTAACTCTGTGTGTAGAATCCTGATGTGCACATTTCATTCAAATAGTTGCACACCAGTGTGGGAACATTTGGCCAGCATAACCTAGAAAGTAAAAATATGATCCAGACCTGGGTTGGGAAGGGTTCCATGTTTGCCTAGCAAAAGGAGACGTTTCATAATCACAATTGCATTATGCTCAGTGCTTAATTCAACTCAGTGTTTTTCAGTACCATATTCCAGATACCCGTAGCGGTATGGAATCGTGTACTTCACAGGCTCTCAGCTTCTTGCAACACTCTGAACATGTTTGTCTGACTGCAAGTGATCAAAGTACTGAGTTTAGCAAGCTAGTGCTTATAGGGCAAGCCACCCAACTGAGCATGTATATGCTCCATTAATTGTGAACTGAAAAGTATTTGACTTAATACATTTCACCTAGTCTTGCAATTGCAAGATCATTGTAATCATGTACATCATGATTCAGAGGGTTCGGGTGATGTGTGTAACCTACTGCTGGCATTAATCTGATTTCTTACGATCAGGTGAACATAACTGAATGTCTTGGAAAGAACAACAAGGCTGGGAGAGTGAAGGAACATGTGGTCTCACAAGTGAAGGAACATGTGGTCTCACAAAGCATGTTCGCATTTGAAATAGTGTTCCTCAAAGCTGATTATAAAATGAAAATGAGAATACGGGGAAGCATGGATGGATTTAACTGTGGACCAGATGTTGGCTTGAAAAATTATAACCAAAAGCAAAGTACATATGTTTGTGTGAAATTTGGAGAAATGTTTTTCCTTCAAGGCAGGCATCCATATAGATAAGGTTGCTCAAGTAATGTGATGTGACAGTTGCTATGTCAACTAGTGTTCCCTTCCACACATTTACATTATTGAATAGCACAGTAAATGTTCTATCAAAGTAGCTCCTTAGAACATGGGTATGCATCTTCCTATTTTCCTCAAAGATTTAAAAAACTTTTCTGACCTTTACTATGTGCCAAACCTCTCTGCAGCTCCCATTAAAGTCAACATTTGGCCCATTATGTCCCCTTTGTCTGACTCAGCTCCCTTTGTAGCTGCATGTTTCATGGATGTGTAATGGAGCAGTGGCTGCTTGCATTTGAAAGCAGAGTGAAGGGATTGAGGGAACAGATTGAATCCATCACAGAAAGAGTATGAAACTCCCATGCAAGTAAGTGCATAACATTTAATGAATTGAATCTGGTCTTATAAACAAGGATCTGCCCTTGCGTGCAATACTTTCCTCATTGTTAACCCAGTACACAAAGTGTAATGCTTTTTGACACATACTTTAATAATTTATTTGAAATATAAGTTAGCTAAGTGGCATCTCCAGCCTTAAAGCCAGTGGGAGCTGGTAGAGGCTGAAGCAAAAAGAGAAACTAACCTGTGCCCATCAGCGACATCTGTATAACCTGAGGCTAAACCAGGTAAATGATGAGTCCTGTTAAAGCCATTTCACTTCCTTGTATGTGAATTTGTTTCTAACTCATAGGTGGTTTTTAACTTTCTTGTGTTTGTCCCTAGTTGGGTAGCTTAGAAAATCGGTAGACAGTGCACTCTCTTAGGACTCAAGGTGTGAACTCCATGCTGTTCTTTGCAACATACTTCCTATACTAAATGTTATATTTTTGTCTAAAAATGGGGATGCTAGGTGCCCTATTTGAAAATAGTAAAGCTATCGGTGCTCTTGAGCACTCCTGAAATTGCGGCCATGTACTTCCGTGAGGTGGATGTCACCATCGTATGGATAATAAGTTCTTTTTGCTGAAATATTTGCAGCTTGATGTGTTCATGGTCATAAATGATCAAATTTCTGTGTTTATTCTAGAACCTTATCTAAACACTTCAAATCTATTCTATATCCTTTGAAATGACCCTGTGTTAAGACTTTTCTTTCTGAACAGGGCTAGGGAGCAATTTCGGTGTCACTGTTGCTGCTTCAGTCTTTCTTTTGTAAATCGAGTGGCAGGCAATGAATTCTGTAGATGACCATGTAGGAGTAGAGTTTAAATACTTGTTTCTGCATATGTGAAAAATTCGGGAAGGATGGGAAGAAGTGGGGTGCAAGTTTTGCATAGCACCTACACAAGGACCTGACTTACCTGTAGGTTGGTCATACACTTTTGCTTCAGGGCAAAGTGTATCTTAATTATGTGTGTTTATGTCTGTCCTTTGTTGATAGAAACCTCTCTGTATGCATTTGAACTTCCGTGAATATTCATCCATGCAGAGATTTAGGAGTCTGTACTGTAAAGGCACAGATATGTAGAAATTCAATCACATAGGCAGCTGAAAAGCTATTTGATAAAGTGGATATGAAAACTTTTGTGTTTGACTTGCGTGGGTGCAAATACAGGCATGTATGCATGTGGACAGGGGAAAGTCTGAAAGGAACTTCAAAAATGTAACCTTTAGCTAGGTAGCAATCTTTGTCCCATATGCCACTCAAGCTTACTATGCTACTGAACAGATATGCAGGAAGTGCTTTATTCATATGGCACACAGGTTGTCACACCAAAGTCACATCAAATTCCTGAGAAAAATTACCTTCACTTGGTGCCTCATGTGGTACTGAAAATTGGATATCAAGGGACACGGAGGTTAAATTGAAATACTAGCATTGTTCTGCTGTCTCACGGCAGATCAAACTGGAGTCAGCAGGAGGGAGCAGTATATCTGAGGCTGCTTGTGGAAAGGTTCGGGACCAACTTCGTATTTATTTGCAAGTAATATGGTCCTCTGTCTGTTTCTTTTTGTAGTTTTGGCAGTTTATTTGAACCGGTGTTGGTGGCCCATTGAAGATGTACTGAAGACAGCTGATCCTTCTAGAGATGGGCTAATTTCGGTAAGGATGCTATTTTAAACAGTTGCCTTCAGCCTGGAACTTTACAGCTAGAACAATCGTGTAATTGTCTCTGGTCTCCTATAGCTCATGCTTTATATAACCTGTGGGATCTGGGCTATGTGGCTCACCAAGTACTTCATGTCTCCTGCTGCGCAGTGACATGCACATTAACCCCCTCTAAACAATTTTGTGCATGCAGGTTATGATTAATCTGTGGGATTTATTAGTTTTTGGTTTTAGTTTACCCCCACTGCCTACTAAAGAAATAATCAGATAAACCAAATTACTACGTTAGCAAGAACTCTTCACTTTAGAGTGTTGCTTGACTTACTGTCTGGTGGGAGGTGTTACTAACCTTTGGAACAACGTCTTACCTAGCTAGTTATGATTTTTTTTTTTTCCTTGACTAATGTTTATATTGTGTTCATTCTATGAAATGCTTGTTATTTGATAGTTTCAATACCTGAAATTCTTTTTCCAAGTAAATTGTCTTAGTAGGATACAACTACTTTTTCGTTATTTGAGAGATTTGGGTAACCCATGGTCTGTTTTCAACTAAGAATGTGAGCTTTGTGTTGCCATGAGGCTATTAAGTCAGGTCTGTTTCCTACCCAACCCTCTGTGTCCAGCTTTGGTCCTCAATGATTCTGTTCCTTTATCATCTTTCCCTAATATCTGCCACACATAGAGTTTAGTTATTGACTAAATTAAGTAGGCTTTTTGTGGGTAACTGAACTGGAGGGATTTTGAGATACAAATCCTTGCCAGAGAGAACTTGGAGCAGAAACACAGGCTTTCAGCCTTTCAAGCATCTGCTGTATCAACAGAGAATGAAAAAATACCTGAAAATAGAAAACTTGCCCCTACTAGCTCATTGCTAAGAGGTAAGTTGTTGTGATTTGTGGAAACTCTCGTTTTCTTTTTCTGCATTTATCTAAAGTTAGTTGGCACCACTTTTTACCTTGATGACCAATATGATCTTGTTCCTTTATATTCTTCCATCTCCCTGTCCTATTGGTTGTCTAGTAAGAACCAAGGCATAAAAACTAAATGTTGCACCTAGGTTATAAGCTGTTTGGGACATAGTGTGTTTATTCTCTGTTTCGTGTAGTGTCTACCTCAGTAAGGCCCTGGCGCACTGAAATTCTTTGATGCTGTGGCACGACAGGTAATAGGGGAGAGGTGGCCAAGATAACACAGTGAATCCTGTCTTTATTTCACTTTTGAGTAGGATTAGATTGCCTTGATCCTGTTTCCAAATCTGTGACTAGTTCGCTGTGACTAAAATCAAGATACTTCTTTTCCTGCTGCTTTAGAATTCCACTCTGTGACAACAGGAGATAGGTCAAGCTTTATAAATTGTTACTTAATTATTCTATGCCCTCTGGATAGAGGGTGGAACACTGGGAAAAACTGTTTTTGTTATTCTATCTGAACCAATTCATGAGGTATTTTCCCCAAATTAAGTGTACATGTTTCCTGACCTCCTCCTCCTCCTCAGCCCTTTTTAATTTTGAAGCCTTTTATGAAATGCAAAATACTATTCTCTACTTCATTTTTCTTTGGTCTGTTTTTGTTTGTTCTCTAAGGTCCGGACATTTGGAGAAAGGATTGTCCTCTTTGTTCTGAACTACATTATTTTTGGAATGCTGGAAAGGAGTTCAGCTAATGATGCGTTCTTTCTACCTCACTCTGCGACCGAGTGTGCCAAGATACTCTGGAAAAATGGCGAGGCTGTTGCCTTTTACTCGGTCAAGATGAAAGGTAAGGTCATCTTAGAGACACATTTCCATTGGTTCCTAATAGCTAGAAATGTAATCTTTTTGTTTATCTTTCAGTATAAATAATCCTGGCTCTTATTTACATTTTTATATCAAATCTCTCTCAGAATGAATCTGGGGAACAAACCTTCCCAGAATTTGGAAGTCATCCATATTACTTTCATTTAAACATGATGGCTTCAAACTGTATTCTCAGTTAGACTGTGATCTGAGGTACTGGCTTATTCCAATAAAATATGCTTTAATGTAGCCAAGTAGAATGTCATACATCTAGGAACAAAGAATGCAGGGTCTTCCCACAGAATGGAGGACTGCATCTTGGAAAGAACGATATCTGAAAAAAGGAGTACAATGGAAGTACACAGTGGAAAACCAGTGTATCAAAGAGTGGCTGGTGGCGAGAAGTGGCAATACCCTTGGATGCATAAGGAGCAGTGGCTGGGTTGTGTAGAGGAAGGTGGATGCACTAGATCAGTCCTGGAATGCTTTGTGCAGTTTAAAGGATGATGATTAATTGATTTCATCATTAATTGATTAACTAGCATAGAAAAGAAGCAATACATTTGATTCTTTAGGGGTACTTGCACCAGTATATGCTTTAGTGAAGGCTTTTTATTAAATAGAGGGTTTGTATTAATTCAGGTACATTGCTGTTAACTAGTCTAGAGTGGAAAAGGCTTCATTAGAGTATAACTCCAGGTATGCAGTTGAGTATGTACCCCCATGCAGGAGCTGGTTGCCTGTCAACGTAGAGAAGTTGGTATCTTTTGAGGTAAATGTATTGTTCAAGTCAGCAATCAGTAGCCATCTGTCCAAAAGGGGAGAATAAGAAACAGCTCGAGAGCTGTGCGGATACTGATTGCTTTGGGTTCCAGAGGACAGGCTAAAGGTGCCTTCTCTGAAAGAGTCTCAAAGGCCAGCGACAATAAGAGATGTTCTGCTCTTCTGCGGCCTTGGGATGTGCAAAATCCTTATTCACACTGAGGTGCAGCTTGTACACCACTGTGCTGGTACAGTGTTACTGTACTATCAATGATGAATCAAGTCTCAGCCTATGATAAAGGAATCTTGTATATATCTGTGAATATGTTGATGAACTGGTTTGTAATTGGCAAACACTTCAATTGCCATAGTACATTTTCCTTTAAATCCGTAAATATTTCTGAGCGAAGCTTTTGGAAAGAAACACTTGTATGGGCTGTAATGATTCATGCTTCAGTAAAATAAATTTGCACAGTAGTCTGTTATGGGTGGAGTATTAGCCAAGTTGAAACTGTTTCTGAGTAAGTTGAGAGTCACAGTTTGGTTTTAAACCAGGTCCACATAAAATACAAATTCTTCAAGTCCAGCTTTGTCAGCATCTGTCTTTTGTTGCCAGTGTTTTTTTTCTCTGGGCAGCTATATTTGTTAGTTTTTGGCCTGTGTCACAAATTACTGCAGTCTTTTGCCAAAGCCTTTTCGGGAAGCTTGAAACTGATTGTTTTTGCTCCTTTTTGATATTTGCTGTATGTATTTAGAGAATAATTCCTCTTTCTGAAGTTCTGTGATTTCAGTTTCATACCAGCCATGCTCTGGCTGATCCTATTCTCTCTACTTTCTGGATGAGCCGTGGATTTATCAGGCCCAACACAGGCTAAGATAAATATCTTCTCTTAGAAGGTGTATTTCATGTGGTTGTTTTAGATTTTTTTAAAACTTTTTTTCATCATAATGTAAGTTCTTTTTCCTTTTACTGTCCTGGGCAGGACACTTAGTAGGGGCAGCTTTAAGTACAGGACTTTATATTGTGCTGGACCTCTGTTACAGCTTCTGGTCCTAGGAAGAAATTGTTTTCCTCTCTGCCCACCAGGTGATTCTGCTTCCCTTTATTTCCATGCTCTGCAATTACTTGGCCATTCTTTATAGTTTTATTTTTTTCAGTAGGTAATTGAGACTGTCATGCTGATATTGTATTCAACTGTATTTCTCATCTGTGAATTTTCCATTACCTACAGTACGACAAAAACATGCTTCAGTGGAGCCAAATAAGCCAGAACAGATCTGTGGAGCATGGCTATTTCAAACATAAGTCATCTGGGTGAATCATAGAAATGGTGACCAAGGAAAAGAGACTCTGTTCTATCTTTGCTACAGATTTAGTGTGCCATTATGCAAACTAAATTTTCAATGGACTTCAGTGATTCCAATTAATTATCTTGGCAATATTGTAAAGTCATTTCCATTTGCCAGTTCCTAGGTGGCCTGTACAAAGTGAACTTGGTAATTTTGGTCCAGCTCCACACATCCATCCATCTTAAGAACATCCTTAACTGAATCTCTTTTGATAGTCTGGCTAAAGAGGGACAGATGATCTTGAGCACCCGCCTTGCTCAGAGATTAAGTAACTGCAAGTCAAGGTTTTGAGACAATTTGGCAACTACTGACACTGGCCATCCTGCACCTGTTGTGTAGATAAACAGAAGACTCGTTCTTCAAGGCTATCACTTTTCGTGAGCATTAGACACCTTTATTAACACAAAATTTATTCATGACTACACAGATCATCACCCTAGACTCTCGGGTATGTGCCTATTCCTGTCCAATGACAGGCATGCAGCATTTACCACTGGGTATACTAAAGATTGATGAGATGTACTGAGCCACTAATGAGGCTGATAAGACACTTTGTCACGTGCCAAGATAAATGTCTCCAATTTTATCTATGTCAGCGGCTTCCATATTAGACAGCTGAGGAGTTAGACCTCATTGAATGTAGCTCCTTAAAGGTACAACAGGAAATGACAGTTCCCTGTCCCTGTCCCTTTCTTTGCAGACAGCAGCCTGAAAATGAAATATTTTGCAGAAAGGATTCATATAGATACTTTGGTTTTCAGATCTGTTTTATAGTCAAAGCAAAGCAACCCTGGCCCAGTCTCTGCTTTTTGCTACCCCAGAGCCTTAGATTTGGTCTTTGGAAGCAGCTACCCAAGCTAAGATCTATTTCGCATCTTCTTCATACAAGCCTTCATAAATTTCTTTCAATACTTTGGTGGCCGAGGTGGTATTCTCTAGAAACAGATCCCTAAAAAGGTAACAGGATTTTATTTTTCACTGATTACATACATTTTTTTTTTAGAAAAAAAAATAATCAGAATTGAAGTTAACCTGACAGATAATTAGCTGAAATCTTGTTGGATAATTGCTTTTCTCTCCCTCTGTTTTCTAGCAATAATATTTTTAATGTGCATTTCTGAGGCAGACTGAAGGTTCTGGCTGTAATAAAAATTAAATGACTACATACCAGTCAAGACATGAATTCATTTAATTTTATTGAAGCCAGAACCTTTGTTCCCCTTCTCCCATACAAACTCACACAATGGGTTGACCTTGGGTTCTATTCAGCAGAAATATTCCCCACCCTTTACACAAGCACTCAGCCTGCTTAAGGCCTGTCCAAACATGTGTGTGCCAAGCC